ACATTAAAGCACACAACATTGACACAGCCTAAGATGCAGTAGTCACAATGATTGCTCTGTTCAGGTTCCCCCTCAGTTTAACTGAATTTTGAAAGATGTCTTGACCACGAGTTCCTGGAAACAACTTTGCTAAATAAAGAGAAAAGGTCAAATTCCAAGAGCACTACACGTTAAATGTACCTAGCTTCAAAAACAGGGATACACACCCTCTACACAGACGTGCAATGTGAAATGGCTGTTAAACATCCACATTTGGAAATAAAGAGACTGTTACTGGGGAAGGATGTAGGCTGTCACTTTCAACCATTTTCAGTAGGTTTAGGAAATCTGCTCAGCCAAAAAACCTGTTGAATCGGTTGCCTGTATATTTTTTTCACAGTTTAGAGAAACCTAACATGGAGTATACTGTACATAGGCATTTTTTTTTCACTGAAAGAGAATACACCAATGATTGTTTTATGCAATGAATGACCATTATGCAGTACTTAGTGGAAGCTTATTTTTAAAACTGTTCTCTGCAAAACAAGGAAATCGTCCGACCATTTTACAGAAATAGTGTATCTCAGAATGCGTTTAAAAACTGAGAAATAGACACACATCGTTACACAAAGGGTCATGGGAGTCTGGAATGAGCTATCCAGCAGTCTTGTCCAAAATAATATCCTGGCTTCTTTCAAGAAATGACTGGATGATATTCTTGGTTCAAAGACCCAGCTACCAAATGAACTGTCAACTACGTTTGACAAACTAACGTCTGTCTGTTGTTCCAAAACCTTTGAAGGTGGTGTGATTATTGTCATCAGCTGACAGTGTCATGGAAAAATTTAGCATAGTTTAACTTATTTTTCTACACATCCTAATACGTTATTTTGTTATCCCAAAACAACTAAAGTCTGCAAAAAACATCAAATATTTATTACTTTTCCAAATGCTTAACATAAAAAATGTTGACACTATTATAAAAAATAGCTAAATATACTGTATAATTTTATATTTATTATATTTTGGTAAACTATAAAAATATGTTTACAGCCAGTCATTTCATATTTGTTTTGCTTGTGCTTTTATTTTGCAACTATTTGTATGTTTTTTATATGTTTTTTATATTGAACTTTAAATCTTGATCATAATGAATGATAATGCTTATCTCCAATGCTTATTTCCAGAATAGAAATAATCTTATTTCCAGAAAATTGTAAAAATAAGCAAAAGCTGTCAAATTTGCAGTGGCACCAATAATGTTATATATATATACAGTATGTAGAAAATCATAGGTAGGTGCATTTTCCTGTCTTGGAATTAATCTGATCTTTATTTGCATACTGAGAGTTAACAAACGCTTCACAATGAGCTGTGGTAGGGAAGAAGCTGTAAAGGTTATCAGAATATTTCAGCACTGAACAGCAAGAGAGTGGAACACAATTTTAACCTAATTAAACTTTTTAAATTTTTATATTTTTATTATACGTGTGGGTTCTGTATTAATTGCATTGCATCCATTTGATCTTTGTAGCAACATTTTTCTCTCTTTGTATTTGTTCTTCTCAGAAAATCTTGAATTGCCCCCCAAAAATTTAGTTTTTAATGTTTACCAATCCTCATCATTTGGAATTATCACTAACTATACGAGTTATCTATATAATTGATACACATTAGGAAGACCAGTGGTCCAAGTACAGATCCCTGTGGTACTCCACTGATCTCATCACACCAATCTGAAGACCAACCCCTTCTCTGTACTCTCTGTTTTCTATTTATTAACCTTCTATTTATTCATCTAATGCCTGTTCTATGTAAATATAAGAATACCATCACAGATTGTAATGTAGGAGTCATTCACATCTATAATTAAAAGACATACTGTAGCAGTGATTAAGCAGATGATTTTGTGTCAATTTAGTATCTTTCTTATGCAACTGTAATGGAGCAGCTGGACCTGGAGTGTTAATATTGGATTTGACCTCTAGAAGGTAGCATAAAGACAATCCAGAAACCAAGTGAGAGTAATAAAAGTGAAGCGTTTTCACAAGGCAATTGGAGTAGGTTCTTTGTAAAACAGTTGACACAAAAGAAGTTGTCTATTCTGGATTTGACTGTGGCTGGAAGGTTGCCGGTTCAAATCCTGTGGCTGGCAGAGGAATCCTACTCCGTTGGGCCCCTGAGCAAGGCCCTTAACCCCCAACTGCTTCAGGGGTGCTGTATAAATGGCTGACCCTGTGTTATGTCCCCAAGATTCTCTCTCTCTGTCTGTGTATCTCATGGAGAGCAAGCTGGGGTACGCGAATAGACAAATTCCTAATGCAAGAAATTGTATATGACTAATAAAGTGATCTCTAAGTACAACAAGTCTCATTGTATAAGGTGAGACTTTTAAAGTTATATCCCAAGCACCTTCAAGAGTTTTCAGAGCCCCTGTGGCATGGTGCTGTTGATGCTTGTTAGGCTATGTACTGTACTGTATATTGGGCTTAGAGGTGTAATTTAGTTCTGCTCTAGTTTTTGACTGCATCTCATACAGAGTTGCCAAGACTCAGATCACTGAGAGTGGTGCCTATCAGTCACTCAGATTACTGTGGAAGTTATGTGGGCAGAATGGAACAGATCTCAAAGCGTAAGATGCCCTGAATTCCCTGCAGTTTAACAGAAATGGCTATTTATGGAAATACACATCTTGAGTTTCTCTGTTGTGATCCTTGCTTACAAATGATAAGTTAGAAGAAAACAACTGTTGTATTAATTTTTCAGTTGTGCCTATTTTCTGCCTTATCTCAAGTGTGTCCTTGCACTGAGCATTTGTTTTTTGTACTCTCCCATCCTGACTGGGGTCTTTCTGGAAACTGAATATTTTGTTTTATTGACAATGTCTTAGAAATAAGATGACACCTTACTTTTTCCATGGATTCTTTTCATATTAAGGAGGTGCATATTTGTGAGTTTTATGAAAATATTTTTTTTCTGGCAACCAGCAACAATACAATATATGTTTGTTATGTTAGAATGTTATTATAATATAATAATTATACATTTGTTTTTACAGTAAAATCGTCATCCTTGTATTAACACATATTGCTACATACAGGTACTTAGAGATAAACACATAGAAATTTGTATCCCTCCTAGTACACTTGGAACAATAAGGACATCTCACCATTAATGACAAATAAGTAATTAAATAAATAAATAACATACTTGGAATCTCAATTCATTGTTTAAAGGAAGTGGAGGTGTCATAAGTGTTATAGTTTAGGATTCCCATGTATCGCAAAGATTAGGAACTACCTGATGTGCAGTTTCAGGTTTCCTGTTTGACTGTTTGGTCTTTTTTTTTGGCAGTTTTGCAGTTTTTCACTTTTAACAGACTTGTCTTATCATCTGCCTGAGGGGGTGATACAGGACTCAGAAACAGTGACTTGGTCACTGAGGACAATAGGAGTGTAAAGATAATTGTAGGTAATTAGCTTCATCCTGGGTCTTAGATTGCAAATGGCTGAAATGGCGCTATTGTTTCTTGCTATTGTGCTATTTTATCTGTGTGGTCCAGTCTCTGGTGTCCCTCTGTGTTAGATGTCTGTCACCCATGAGGATAAGTGAAGGGCTCAAAAGAGGTGCTAAGAGTCTTGAGAGTTTTCAGACTGTTCTGGATTGGGTGCTGAAGTCTATGCCTGTATCCTGAATGTTGGTGGGTTGTACCAGACAAGTTAGTAAAAGCTGTGACCCTTTCCACAGATGTACCTACTGTAATAAAGAGCATTGAAGTCCGCTAGGCTGCTTGTTGATTGAATCCTCACAGACCATGTTGGGTTGCTTTCCTGTTAAAAAAAAGCATTTCATTTAAAATGAGGTGCATGTTTGCATGTTTGTAAATGCACAAGTTTTAATACTCCGTTTTGTCTGTCCACAATTGTATTAAAAAAATCAAGAGATCATATTGCTTTATTTTTACGTTTTCTTTTCGTCCTTGTGTTTTCATTTCAAACGCCGTGGTTAATCGCACTTGCATTTCTTTGGCATTTCTACAATTAATATTACAATTAATTTAACGGGATTTACAAGAAAGACCAGAAAGCTAGAAAGGAATGAAACTTCCTAAACATTTAGAAAACTATTTTATTTTCCAAAGATTTTAAATGAAAAAAAGAAAGTTTATTCACAAATTTTGTGAATATAAATAACATAGTTTAAAATAGTCGTGGGAAGATTTCTCTTTATACCGTATTGTAAAATTATTGTGCTTCATAAGTAGAAATTGGTGGGAACGCGTATAATACTATATGGACTTAATATACACTCACTCTGCCATATTACCCACTATTAGATTTAGATGTATGGATTTTCAGTGACGTAATAATAAACCCTCATTTATTTTATATTTATTTACATCAGTGTAAAACTATTTTAATTTCATGACTATCGTACAATGAAAGCCCCGCGCTCGACGTACAAAGTATAAAATATTAATATCTACTTTTACTCTGTGAAAATACCTCTGCTTTATAACTCAACTTCTATTTTTCCTGTTCGTATTCCACGGACAATAGCGCCACTTACTGTGTAAATTGAGACATTAACCCACAGACGACTGAAAAGTCGCATTACTTACTCTAAATATGCGAAACTGTGGAACATCTGTGGAACTGTGAAATCTCCACACACTTCTGTACGTGTCGATAATGCAGTGACACAAAGTGTAAGAATTTTAACATCATAAGGCAAATACTTGTTTGTTCGTAGGTGAGACGCACTGTAATATAACCAATAAATAAACTACGACCGCGGCGTAGATAATGTTCTATTAATACTATACAGTATGTTGCAATAGGTTTCGTAAATGCTAGCCCGCAAATTATTAAGTAGGCTGCACTCAGAAGTTACATAACCATTGCAAAGGAATAAGTAAGAGGGGGGAAAGGCGGAGTTATACAGTACGTTAGGGGTGCTTTTAAAACTTATTTTTATGTTTTCTCACCTTACAGGCATTTCCCTACTTTTATATGGTACACCAGCTACTCGGTTTTCAGTGTTTCAACCCCACCCACTAAACTGATGGTTGCTGTCTAGCAGGTCATTTTAGAAATCACCTCGAAATACTCCGGATCCATCCCTAATTAAAATTATTTAATTGCACAGAAACAGCTTGCACCGATGCTCTGATTGCTTTGCTGCATCGATGAAGACTGTAAACTTTAGTAATGGTAAAGTCATTCTAAGAAGTTTCTTTTTGAATATGGAATATTGACGAGTCTGAAACAAGAAAAACAACTACAACTACTGTACGTACATAGGACTCTGAATCGTCATGCATCTTGCGGTAGCGATACCTGTGTGCCTAACGGGTGGGTCTCTACAAGTTGAGTGTTTGACCAGTAATTTTGAGTCCTTGTGAATCCTCGCTCCCTGCCTGTGACGTGGTTCCTCTTTCTATTTGGCGAGAAATTGGGCTTGCTCCTCCCGGAGAAAGGACCGTTCTGAATCATTCCGAGCTACACGCGCAACTTTGCAAGGTGAGCACGTTTGACTTTTTGTTGTTCTGTAACTCTAGCCTGTTTCTACATCTGAACAAACCGCGCTTTCAAGTAGCATACTTATTTTGCGGGTATTGTTATTTACTTTGCTCCTCTTGCAGGAATGGAAATTAAGGTCAGGGTCCCAATATTGGATAACCAGAGTGAGAGTGTCATTTGCAAGTAATTAAATATGGTTTGCGAGTAAAAAAGAGACTATAGCAGTCTGCGTTCACATATGAAGGGCATTGGTGCTTATGGCGCTTTTAGACCATAAGTGCTCTTTTGGGGACTCTTGAATTTGCTAAGGGGCAGGGTGGAGATGTTTTAAAACTCTGAAATCAGTGCGGTAAAACTTTCCTCAAACAAAATGCCGTTTGCTTGAATTTGTTCAAGGGCAGAACCTAGTTGATAAGTCCTAAGGGTAGTGTGTAATTACATTAGACCTTAGTTCAGTATTATACAGCATGCTTGTTTCTCATATTGGAACTTTGCTGGAAACTGCTCAAGAGCTGTTGGACAAGCTATCTTCGCGTATGATGTCATGATCACCTTAGGACCAGCGCAACGCTTTTTTGGAACTTGTAGTGTAAGCGATGCCAGGTTTAAACGTGCGAGTGTGTTTCCTGGCGTTTCGGATCAACATCATCACTGTAGAATGTATCATTGTATTGGTTCTGAAGTGCTGGAACCGAGCCCTATTCTGCATACTGTATGTACTAGACTAATACACGGAACTATATATTAAGTGTAAATGAAAACTGTGGTCTTTTCCAAATTAGGAGAAAAATTATCACGTATGATTAAATCATAACTTTGATTTCAGCCAAGTTAGGAACTAGTCCGTCATTTAATTGCAATATACTGTACGGTATATACTGTACCTATTCGAGTGGGGTAGCTGTCAGTGCATTGGCCGCAAAGAAACAAGGTTATTTTAATGCTGAAAAATAGGAGAGGCACAACGTTTCAACTGTTCTTGAGCTCACATCATAAGTCCCTAGCCAAAACGTTGTGTTCTGCTTCATTTGTTCTTATTTATGTTTCTTTTCTCTTGGCAATATTAACACTTTAAAAGAAAATGTTACAAGACGACTGTTGCTGACAGATTACTTTCTGGACAGATTACAACTTGTAAACTCGTTTAATAACCTGAAAACATGTTTGGGGGAAAAAAGGCATTTCGAAGTGTTAGCCGTCTCAAATGTCTGAGCGGCGTTTTGTATTTGAATTGAAAGTTATTGAAACTTAATTTTGCAATGTTCGCGATGCCAGGAAGGCGCGGAGATGGGTGTCAATACTTGTTTTCACTCATTAGCTGGAAGTTCAAAAAGTGAAAAGGCAAAGTAATGCATTTTTTCTGCTCCCGCTTTGCTTCTGTTGATAGTCCCATGAGTTATGAGACTGTCTGGCTCCAGAGAAACCAGCAACTGTAGCGCACAGTCCAGTACCTGAAAAGGTTGCTTGTAGTACTAACTGACAAAATGTTCTTTTCGAGCGAATGGTCTTGGGGCGCATTTACATAAGGCCCACTTCTTTAAAGTTAAAGGAGTGCTGGAGGAAACAGCTGGCAAAACAAATATTGGGAGCTGAGCGTATGTAATGGTATAAATTAATAATGCAGTTCTTTATTTCCTGTATGAATGGGGTATTTGTGGAGTTAAGTAGGTTTAGCTTGCCATCTACTGGTCTGTGAAAGGATAGAGCTCCTCCAATACGCTATGTTTGAATTTATTTGCGCGCATGTTTCGCTGACGAGCTGTATAAGCTGCAACCAAAGAGGTCATGTTAAAAGGGAGTTGTAGTCAAGAGCCAGCCGCATTTTAAATCGTTTTAGGTACACAGCACACTGGAGGGAAGTCAGTTATGGGTTTAATTTGTCAAGATACTCATAAATGTAATTATGAATGTACAATGCAGTGTTCATTTCCACTTAGCTAATGGTAACCACTTTTTTTGTGTGTTGCGTTTAATGCCAAAGCTAACCACTGCTTTTTAGGAACTGATGATCCAATATAAGCAATTATCCAATCCAGTTACACTGAAGGACATCATTTTTTTGTCCTATGAATAGGTTATTTTAAGTGGGTGTGTCTTTAGTATAACTACTGTATGTGTACACACATAACTTTAAAGAAAAAAATTCAGCCAAGTACAGTAAACGTCTGTTGAAGTTTTGGCTCTGGACATTTTACATTTTAGTTGAAAATAAATTCCATAAAATGTTACTAACAAAGTGTATTTTAACTGTTTTCTGGATTAACATACTGTTATACCTAAGGAGTTAGGAATATACAATAAATTATTTTCTCTCAGGTGTTGCATTTATTCCATGTTTGTCCTCTAGTAGGAGTAACAGTTTTTTTTGGTGAAAATGTGGAATTGAAAAAGGAAATCTACATGTTCCTTTTCTGTCTGCACACTATCACAGCTGTCCATTTATCCTCACATAAAGTGATGTATTCTATATTAGCTTATAGTGCCTTCAAGGATATGTAATATACACCTTTTTCTTTCACAACATGGCTATAATTTCTGTTTGTTTTTATATTGCATTTATATTGAGTTCCATGATTTAGGCCTTCTTATGTTTTTTCCAAAATTAGTATGAAACACCAAAAATTAATTTTAATATGTATCTAGGAAAATGCAAAGTAGATCCGCAAATATAATTTAATTTGGTTTAACGACTATTCAAAGGGAAATTACTTGGTGTATTTCATTACAGATAATTTATGTAGGCTTCAGCTAAATAATTATCTATAAGTGTTGGTGGGGTCCAAATACTCAAAATGGTAAGAACACATCGTGTGTACTTTCTGCTGGGACTCAGGAGCTGTAACGAATCCAAAAGATGACATCATACATGCATGAAATGTGTATAACAAAAACTGTTCTGTTACAGCTCCTTAAGAGCAGATCCTTTAATTAGTACAAGGAACAGAATGCCCATATTATAAGCTTGGACAACATGGAATAGTTTGCCTTAAAAAAATAAAGCAGCCACAAGCAATCAAGAAAGGCTTAAAAATGTCCATTTTAAAATGTAGGTAATGTTCTAAAAAAATAATTTCAAAATAGAATGCAAAGCAAATTTGGGATTTACCACCTCTTTAGTTGCAATGAACTATCATCTCGCAGGTGAGTTACATAAGGAAGCTGTACCAGCTGTACAACGATCCTAAAAGCTCTTAGCTGTTTATTTGAAAATCATTAACAACAGCAGGCCACACACACGCTGTTTTTGCATGTGAGACCTCAAGGGCCGTACTGTAACTGTTAAGCAGAAATCCTTGGATAGTTTATCTTGTACTGAAAACAAAAAAAAGCACCGTATCAATAAGTTTTCTACCTCATGGGTAAATTGTAAATTTAGTGGTTTGCACTAGATAAATTAAAAACACAGTTAAACAATATCATCAATACTTTCATCAGTACATGATACATTTTAATGCAGTAAATTCCCTTTGTTAATATTAGAATAAAGGAATGTTGACTTTGCATTATTTTTTGTGTAGCTTATAAAGAAGGTGCTGCTTTTTTGTCTAAAAGATTATAAGGTTTAGAATGTATAATAGTTCCTTCATTTAATATTCTGTAGCAAAAATATTTTCTTAAAAGAATAATGCTTTGGCACAGACTTCAAACAGAGCCATTCACTATTCATTACGTATCTTCTTTGAAAGTCTTATCAGAACATGTTGTCATGTTTCTTTTTCTTAAACAATACAGTGAAGGTGGTCTCCTTCAGATTCTGTTATCAAAGCATGGCTGTATCAAGACACTGAAGAGACTGCATTGCAACAGATAGCCTGTTTCAACAAACACGATTTTACTTTCATTGTATCATTGCTCAGTTTTATTGACTTCCATCAGTGTTTAGCTCAGGTGACAACCTAAGGCTGTCCACCTGTGTAAACTCGGCCTCATTGATGAGCCAGGGCAGCCCACCAGCACTATTAGAGAGAAACTTTTACCAGCGTCAGATTAGAAAGATTACTTTGAAACCGTCTGATAGCAGAGCAAATCTTGGGTTTCATTAATAAAAACATTCTGAATGTGAAATGCGAGACTTGGAGGAAGCCACCTGGTGAAGTGCAAACAAGACACTCATCAATTCATCTATCCATCTGTTTTCTAATTGCTTCATCCAGTTCTGGATTTTGGGGAGCCTGAGCCCATCCCAGCAAGCAATGGGCACAAGGCAGCATACTCCCTGGATGGGACACCAGGGCAGACACAACCACGCTCACACTAGGGACAATTTTCCCAGAATCCAATTAACCTCTTGTGTGTTTTTGGACTTAGAGAGGAAACTAAGGTTAGGAGCTGCCAGTCTAGTAACTGTGATCTCCGAGAACTCCCCCAATCTTTTCATTTTCCTTTTTCTTTTCATATCTTAAAGATGCTCTTTTTCATTTTAGTTGTACTTCCATTGAAATGTTTCTTTTCATTCTCAAAAGAAAAATAGCAAATTCTGGTTAAATTAATCATATACTTTGTGTGACTTATCACAGATTATTTAGGTTGTTAAGCACAGGTTACAGTCCTTATTTTCTCATCTTTTGCTCAGAGAAGTGTCACATAAAAGACTGTATTGTATTTCATTGGGTGGTAGATAAAGGGTTAATTTGTTTTTACAGCTATTAAATATTTTAACCCAGATGTAAAGTTTGGTAAAGTCCACTTTACAGTACTGCACAGAGATAATAAATGTTTTTTAAGAAAATTAAATCATAATTTCTTACCGATTCTTTGCTGCCTAAATTATACTATAATTTAATTCTATTGACATGCTTAAGTGCTCTGTTTATAAACGATTCCTGAAGTAATAATAATAATAATAATAATAATAATAATAATAATAATAATAATAATTATTATTGCTTACACTTATATAGCACTTTTCTGGACACTCCACTCAAAGCGCTTTACAGGTAATGGGGATCCCCTCCACCCCCACCAATGTGCAGCATCCACCTATATACTGTATCTTCAGA